TCGTAAAATAAAAAGAAGGACTATCATCGTTTTACAGCGTCATTGCTATAAAACAAAGGTGACCAAATAATGGAATAGTTGGATGTGTCTAACAAATATTGACATTTTTTTTTAAAGATCTATCATTTCAAAATCATTTTTATATTAAGGAAAATGATTTATAAGCAGAAAATTGTTTTGTGCATATTTATGGATGTGTTTTCTTTAATTTTTTTATATCTATTTTCTTTCAGGGACTAGAAAAGCAGAAAATATATGAAAAAAAGGAATTTGCAGTAGAATTCTATGTTTGACTGCAAAAATAAAATGAGAATAAAGATTTGTTTTCTTCTTTTGTATTATTTTTAAATGACTTACGAGGATAAATATGAAGTCTTCTCCATGGCACCTGATCCCACCTCTGATGTTTCGGAGGTCCGTGTTTGCTCTGCTCCTATTTTGTATTGTTTTATGGACTTTGATATTTAATACTATTCATGACATCCATATCCTTCATTTCAGAATTTTCTTATCAATGATTACTCTTCATAAGATGTGTGATTTCGGGTTATTCGATGCTCACTATTGTCGTTTAAATGAAATAAGAATGAAATTAGTCAGTAAACGATAATAAGATCGTTTTATTTTGCTTAAATTTCGTAAAATTTGTAAAAAAGATAAATAAAATAAATGATACAATTAAATATGTCAAGAGGGCATAAAAATGGACCCGTGTAAATTTCAAGATTTGTATCATATGACTAAGAGAAGAAAAGCTGAGAAGCCGTAGAATGGGCCAACCCGCCTTGTGTCATATATACGTATTGATATGGACTGAAAATTCAGCCCTAGTCAATTCTAGTATAAAAGGAAAGTATGACAATTGTTATGAAAGACTCAAACAAAGAACAACACTGACGATGAACTGTTTAATTTGCTAACAGGAACATCATAATAACCTCGGAATTTACGAAATGGGGACTCTTAACGAGGTTGTTAAAATTGTTGAAACCTCAACTTAATTGTCAAAAGCCTCTCTCGGTCTTAAAAGATATTCATTCTCTGGATATGCTTTTGGGTTTTTGAAAGGTTAAAAAGTTCCGCTGCAAACACCATAAACAAGTGATGCGTAATGTTCCTACATAAATTTACATGGGTAATGTTCTTCGTTTTTTATGTCGCCTTTCGGCAGTAAAAGAACCAATATGAAGCACATGTGAAATATTTTAAGTTGACTGGGATATAAATATTATTAATTAATAAAAAGTCTCTGAAAAGAATTGCTTTTTAGCAGGTTTCAACTTGTAAAGGGTACACCCATATATTTTATTTACTTATAGAATCTATATTTAAAATTTGATTTGTGGCCCAAGAAATTAATGGAAAGATGCAAAAGTTAAAAAATAAACAAAATCATGTATTTTTGTGTGGTATGAATAGATATGTTTTTATTTCAGGGATGAAATACCAATGAAAGCCTATAGATAAGAAACGCTAATTAAATTACAATTTTCTTTTCGTATAACAAAAACAGACGGTATTCTTTTTATATCCCGATTTGCCCTTCTGCTGTCGTTCCTAACAACAAGATAGCAAAAGTTTAAAACTTGGTTGTATACTTTGAAACATATTACTTTATTTCTATCAGAGTTATCATTCTATATTTTTTTAAAGTCATGCTTGAATCGCCTGATAAAAGGAGTTTGATTTTTTTTTTTCGATTATGTGAACATAGTATTAAAAAAATTGCATGGTTCCAACCAAAAGTGTGGAATGAATATTTCTTCCATAGGAGTGTTGGGTTCTAGCAGAACTTCTTATGGTTCAAAGATGATCCACATGAACTTAGCCATTTTACAAATAGAAATTTATTATTCACGGGTCAGTGTCGAACTTTTTCACATCTTACTTGAAGTTTTTTTCTATTTCTAGACTAAACATGGTTACGTCGTGATGGAGTCCTTCGTTTAGTCTTAGACTCAATGAATTAATAATAGTAGTAAATATCTTATCTTCGACTTTTCAGATTTATCAATGTTACATTTTATAAAAATAGCATAAATTCGCCGAATTCTGATATGTGTGCTGCATTAACCTGCTTCTGATGAATAGCTTTTGCAAATTTTTTGTTGATAAATGTTAACTTTTGACCAGTTATGAGCCTCTATGTTCATACACATGTATTTATGAGACAAAAACAGACTGTTTTGATTGTTTGTATCAAACAAATTGTTATAAAAACATAAACAGAGATATTAGATGCTTTTAAAAGAGATTAACTGTAACTCTTTAAGAAACATAAGTTACTGCTAAAGCTTGGACAAAGCTGGTCTCAAGTAGCCTCAGATGAACAAGTCTGAGCGTAGGAAAAAAATAACAAATACTACATTTTGGTATAATGCATTTAAATGATGGTGCATGGATGATTATTTTTCTTAAATTGTTTTATCCTAAATACTGGCCTGTAATTGTAATAAGGTTAAAAATCCATTTTTTTTAAAGCAAAATATCATCTTATTAAAAATCTGAATACACCATTAAAGAACGCGTATCTGAAAATGGTGAATTCAATCGTGAAAACTAAGAAAATGAATTACAGTCAACTTAAATCATTTAACTGATATATAAACTGGATTCAAAAGCATATACGAGGGTTGTTCGAAAAGTTCGTGGACGATGTTAATCCTCGTTATATTACTTTCAAGAAATTTAAAATAAACACAATGTTTTGTTGATGTGTTAAGTTTCATTTCATTCAATTTTTTTCGTTTTTTTGCTCCAGTTAACAGAGAATATGACTACAAACTTTATCACATTTATTTTGTTTCTTGTTTGTGAATTACTAAATTTTGACCTGCTCCGCGATCTGGTTTTTGCAGTTTTTAATTTTAGAGGTTTTAAATGAATAATAGATAATTAGAAATTTTTTGATACAAATAATTTAGATTTAATGCTGAAATATTGCTACCAAATTTGGATACCATATGATGTCAAATAAAAAAGATATGACAGTTGTCCACGAACTTTTCGAACAACCCTCTTATATCCAATAGCCTAGAAATTCATTTTAGAAAAATACTTCCTCGATCAAAAAAAAGTACTATTAAAAAGTGGAGATACGACAATTTTTTGGATGACAATAAGTTTAACTTAATGAGATAAAAAAGAAAAGGTTTAAGAATAAGTGATTTTTTTTTCACCATTGTTACAATCGTCATATAAGAAAGAATGTTTACATTATCGTTCGTGTCAATAATACACATGGTATGACAGAAAAATCTCATACTGCTGTCTCACACTAGACAGGTCAATCTAACACCGGTGATTATGCAAGAAAATAACAAACACAACAGTTTAATTTGATTCAGTGTACCGGTATTTTAATGATAACGGAGTAAATAAACGGAAAGGAAAAAGAAACGAAGGGTAGCATAATATTTTTTTACCGCATCACCGAAAACGACGAAAATTAGTCAGATAATACTGTTTTTTAATATGCACTAAAATCCGTGTTCAGAATTACTCAACCGTAAAATTCATGACTTCACCTAGTTAAAACGCTAAAAACCCTAAACACGTGCAAATTGATGAAGACAAGTTTGACAACAAATCTTTTTGTACCATTTCATGTGGTAAATACATTGTTTTTCATAATGTACAGACGATATGAATTTCTTGCATTCTTGGTACATCTGACAGAAGTTCCATAGGGTCTAGTTTTCAAATTGCCTAAGTAAGGACAAATGCAACCACGGGTTACTGAGCAGTTTTTTTTTAATTTCCACCATAAATGTTATCCTTTGTCAGAGGGCAAGGAATGGTTTCCATTCAACCGTGACGATGACGTTGACGAGTAACAGAGCCACTTTATGATCGGGCTATTCGTCCTGCTACATATTTATTCGCCACCTTACAACCACAAAAACCGCTATTAATACACTAGACTATGATAATCATTACATTCACCCCAAAACTGAAATCAATTACACAAATTGGGTTTTTGAGTCGGTCACCTCTACGTTTGTGTTCCTCTCACTGGCGCACGTGCGCGTCGATTAGCTAATTTTTCTGTGTGATTACCAATGCCCAAAATTTTGAAAGAAGAAGACTCTTCTGCATTCCATGCAAAGGAAAATCAAGGCTGTGACAGATGCGCGGGGAGAAATTGAAGATAATGAGGGTTTCTGATTTTCACATTTGGGTTTTGTCATATGAGTTTCAATAACTCATAAATTATTAGACAAAATAAAATGGGATTTTGGATACATTTTCGTTAAAGATGATTTTAAAAGTTAGATAGGAATGCTGGAAATATAAAAAAGAAAAATGAACTTAATTCACCTCAAAATTTACCCTGCGTTTCTTTTTCCTTTCAGTATATTATACCTAAATTGAGGTACATATATTTATTACTTTGTAAATGTGTAAAAACAACATTAACATAGTTCTCAACTACAGAAAGTACTACATGATTATTCGATTCAAGCCTTAGGTCTGTCTTTTGAATTGATATCCCTAATACATAAGTTTTCTGCATCCAAATAATCATCTTCAAAACAAAATTTAGATAGTGAATTGAAATTCTAATTTACTTACAGTACGATAAACAAATGGGAATTCCCTACCTTTATTTGTTACCTTTGATCCATGAAAATGTTTTCTGATACCATTATGTTTTTTAGGTCATGACCCTGTACTTAATATTGGTCTACATTGTAAAACCTTTCACTTGTTTTCAAAACACATCATATCTGGCATTAGCAAAGAAGAAGGTATGGTTTCCATACAAATTTTGCCCTGTGATTTTCTAAAAATTGAAACTGGTTAAAAGTTCAAAAGTCATGCTTTTAAAATAATCAGGATTATTTGATTTTATATCAAATAGTCAATATTAATTTTGAGACACCTTGTATTGATTGTTTAAACTATGTATGAGTTATCTTGCAAGCTGGAACTACGTAGGAGTTAATTATACTTGAAATCCGGTAAACCCCTGCTGAAATCCCCACATGTTTTTTGGATATTTGAAGCAGAAGCATGCCGCCTGTGAAAACCAAAGACAAAGGTAACAATCGGAAGAGGCCGATGGGTTCGCCAGCTCGGGCAAAGGGGAGAAAAAATCGTCGCACTCGAAGCCCCGCTGAGGCACAGTCACAGTGTCCGGAGGAGGTACCAGTTCCTGAGGAGCCCCAAGGCCATCCCCCCGCAGACGTGAGCATCTCGACAACCGACACCCCGGGTGAGTCACTCGTTCAAATGGCAGGTTTACCACAGCAGCAAACTTGCTCAGCGGACAGTATAGCCGCTCATGTACCTCATAAACTTAAATTAAAAATATGGGAGGGGCAATTTGTAAATCTTTCTCTCTTGCTAAAGTCGGCCACGGAATTAGATGAATGGGATTCACAAGGGGAAGTCCACTTTAAAAATGGCCGTTTATGTGTTGTTAAGCGAAAACAGAACTCGCAATTAAGTATAGAAAAGTGGACTTCAGCTAACATGATTTACACGAGTATCATTTTCGAACACAGTGAGGCAAAAGCTCAAGAAATGCTAAAATATATGCGAGATATCCGCCTGGCAGCTAGTCGTTCGTATAATTGGTATAAGTACGACGAACAATTTCGACTACGTAGAGTATCAAACCCAACGATGTCGTGGGGGGAAATCCATAGTGAATTCTGGCTTATGTATGTCAGCAACCAATCAAATTTCAATTATACTTCACAGCCACAAGAATATGCACATGCTAATTTAGGTCAATATTCCAAGAACACAACACAACATTTCCCCCCTAAAACAACACAGACAAGTGCCAAATATCCTTTAAGCTGTAATATATACAACCAGGGTAAATTCTGTACTTTCTTCCCCAGATGCCGTTACAGCCACACTTGCAGTCAGTGCAGAGGAAATCATCCCAGAGTCAACTGCGCAAGGAAATAAACATCTCTATACATTAGGGCATACTCCTATTAAATTTGATTCACTTAAAAAGCATTTACAAGGTTATGAACATTCTCAATTTCTGTTCCAGGGTTTTAAATTTGGGTTTAGACTGCAGTACCTGGGTCCTAGGAGAGCACGGTTAAGTAAAAACCTCCCAAGTTTGTACAAAAATTTGCCCACAGCACAGCAAAAAATCAAAAAAGAATTACAACTCAACCGCGTAGCTGGGCCTTTCCCACAACCCCCCTTTTTAAACCCTCAAGTGTCACCATTGGGTTTGGTCCCTAAAAAAGATGGGGACATGAGGTTAATACATCACTTATCATACCCTCATGAAGATTCAGTAAATTTTTTCATAGATTCCACAGAATGTTCAGTCAAATATTCGAGTATTGACGAGGCGGCAGAAATGATTGCAGAGCTAGGGAAGGGAACTTTTTTGGCAAAGTCAGACATAAAATCTGCCTTTAGGCTTCTACCTATTTCCCCAGCTGATTTTGATCTGTTAGGCTTTAAGTTAGAAGGGTTCTTTTATTTTGACAAAATGGTCCCATTCGGTTCCTCAATAAGCTGTGCGCTTTGGGAGAAATTTGCATTGGTTAACTGAACAGCATACAGGCAATAAGTTTATCTTGCACTATTTAGACGATTTTCTTTTTTGTGGATCCAAATTTTCTTCAGTTTGCCACGATACCCTTGAAAAGTTTAAGTCCCTTTGCGAAGAATTGGGTGTTCCAATAGCTGCAGACAAAACTGTCGGACCATCTACTCAACTTGTGTTTCTTGGTATCCTTTTTGACACCAAAAACATGACTATGGCTCTGCCAGCAGAAAAGTTAGATAAGTTAAGGCATGTCATCAATTCCTTCCTCTCCTCAAAAAAGGTTACTTTGCAAGAACTTCAATCGCTCATAGGTCAACTTAATTTTGCTTGTAGGGTGGTTGCCCTTGGTCGTGCCTTTTGCAGGCGCCTCATTAATGCAACAATCGGAGTTTCAAAACCTCACCACAAAATTAGGCTTACTAAAAATATTAAGCAAGACCTCCTTATTTGGCAAGTATTTCTGCGATCATATAACGGTGTTTCAGTGATCAAAACCCAATTTTTAGATAATCAAACCATACAACTTTTCACTGATAGTGCAGGGGGAAGCAATGGAGGATTCGGCATTTATTTTGGGGGGAAATGGGCATTTGGGTCCTGGCCTCAGTCTTGGGCTAATTCGGGTATCACCAGAGACATGACATTTCTTGAAATGTTTCCAGTTATGGTAGCTATTACACTATGGCATGGGTGCTTACAAAATACAAAAATCCTATTCCACATTGACAACATGGCAGTAGTACATGTCCTTAACACACTATCTTCTAAATCAGACAGAGTTATGAATATTGTCAGAAAGCTTGTATTACTTTTACTACAGTATAATATTCAGATAACAGCAAAATACATACACACAAAAGAAAATTGCATTGCTGATGCTTTATCTCGTTCGCAGTGGGCCAGATTTCGACGACTTGCACCAGAGGCAGACCTGTGGCCCACACCGCTACCACGCCACATTTGGGACATTTAGAACAGGAGGCTTCAAGACTTTTGTATAGGTCGTTAGCACCCAATACTCACCAGGCTTATAACACTGCATTAACAAAGTTTAAAAATTTCACTGCTCACTATGGGTTGGCTCAAAGCTGGTCTGTCCCAGTTCATCAGCTGTTACAATTCATTGCATACCTTTCAATCAATAACTTCACTTACAGAACTATATGTTTATACATTAGTGCAATATCCTATTACCACAAAGTCAACGGGTTTCAGGACAATACAAAAAATTTCAGTGTTACAAAATCTATCGAGGGTGTTAAGAGGTCTGGTGGTTTAAGTAAAGACCTGCGACTCCCCATATCATTTCAGCTGTTTTGCAAAATTATACAGACCTTAAAATCGGTATGCCGCTCACCATTCGAGACTGCACTTTTTTCCGCAGCCTACACTCTTACCTTTTTTTGGTCTGCTTAGAGTTAATGAAATTCTAGCTTTGTGCATTACAGATATCTCCAAAAGCAAAGCTGGTCATTTTTTCATAAAAATAAATAGATCCAAAACAGATCAAATAGGCAAAAGTTCAGTTCTGCAAATACAAAAATTACCAGACACACAATTTTGTCCAACAGCAACAATCGAGCCTTATTTGCAGTTAAGACCCCCCAATACAGATACACTGTTTGTTCATGTAGATGGTACACCGATTACCCGTTTTCAATTTCAGGCAGTTTTAGATAGGTCCCTCTCATTTCTGCAAGTGCAAGGTCACTATAGGTCTCATAGTTTCCGCATCGGCATGGTCAACGAATTGGCAAAACGCGGAACTCCCGATACGCAGATTAAAGAAATGGGTAGATGGAAATCTAACTCATTTTTGACTTACATCCGCCCGCAATAAATTGCCTGGCATATTAGTTCACCCCCATACAAAAAAAAAAAAAAAAAAAAAATTGCACACATTCCAGGCATACTCCACAAATACCATACAAGCAACACCCGCACACACAAAGATGCTCTCAAGTAATTTTACCAAAGCATTTCAGATAAAACAATATGGATAGTCGGATCCTCAATCCCATACTGGGCTGGACTGGCTGCAGCTAGCAGACCTGGTGGAACCAACCTCAACTTAAAGTCGTCAATCCTGTGGAGGGGAGTAAGAGGACTTAAATGGGAAGAGTTACAAAAAACTGTAAATGAAATGACAAAAAATCAAAGTCCACCAGACTTTCTTATCATACATTTAGGTTCAAATGACCTAACCACTGAACAAATCACTTCAAAAACTTTCTCAGAAAATGCACAATGTACATTACTTTGATTTAATGCATTATGGCCGAGTACTTGGTCTGCCATCCTACCAAGAAAGTATTGGCCTTTTGCACCTTTGGGAATGGGAAATCAAATTAATAAAAAACGTATCAGAATCAATAAATGTATAAAGAATTTCACGGCAGACCAAGTGCAGGGTTTGTACATTGGCCACGATCACAATATTAAAGCCTCAGAAATAGAGCTGTTCCGAACAGACGGTACACACCTGTCGGACATAGGCAACAACATATACCTAAATAATATGCAAGCTGCCTTAGAACATTTTATCGGGGGAAGGGGTAGTCACTACCCACCATCCGACCTTTAATTAGGCTATCAGCTCCATATTTTGATATAGATGTATATACTTATATGTCATTGTTTCCACTAAATCCAACATTGTTTCATTCTAGGAACATGTGCATATGTTAATTCATTGTGTTTGTTAGCACAGGACAGGCTGTTATATTTTGTTCATATATGTGATAATATACCTTTTGTATCATACCTTTGTTTACGAGCTCTAAGTGTAATGCTCATCAATGGTTTTAATAATGAAGTTGATAAAGCATGAAAAGGAGTTGGTTATTTTTAACCTTATTCTATATCTGGGATAATATTTCTGTTTTCTGACAAATGGAAAAGTTTATAATGTAAAAGGTTTTTTTTGTGGGGGACATTGTTCCAATGTCTGTGGCGGGACTGGGGAGTCCGCATGCACTACTGGACGAAAAAAGTGCTGAGAATCCCAAATTTTACTGATAATGTTTGATAATTACTGATACGGTGCTGTTCTTGCTGATAATTACTGATATTTACTGTTATTATTACTGTTGTTGCTGATAATTTTAGTTGTTGCTGATAAATACTGATAATTACTGTCGTCTTTTACTGTGGAGTCTGATAAATACTGATAAATACTGTTGAGGTACTGTCGCTGCTGAGAATTGCTGATAATTACTGTTGAGGTACTGTCGATGCTGAGATTTACTGATAATTACTGTGGTCATTGTTTTTAACCTGGGAATGGATTAAAATAGCCTGAGAAATGATCATTTGGTTTTTTTTTTTTAAAGTATTTTAACAAATTCATTACAGTCAATTACAAAATAAATTATTCTAAATAAAAAAAGTCACGTTTTATTAATTTGTTTTCAGTTTTCAGCTATTAATTTCATTATAATTATTTTTAGACCATAATGTTAACATAAGCTTTCATAACTGTTTATGTTTTTTCTTTTTTCTCCTTACACGTAGATGACACTATCTGAGGAAAATTATTCTGTTGTATTTGCAGTGGTTTTTCTTCCCAAGTACTTTTTTAAAAAGTTTAATTTTTGTTCATAAAGGTTAAAAAAATATCATCTCATATTTTTTCTCACATGTATGTGTACTGTCATCAAAAGCTTTTTGTGGGCATCTTTAATACTTCAATACAGTCAATGGTTGTAAATATCAATTTATTTTACCGTGTGGAGAACTGAAAATGCATGAGCACATTAAGTTGAAAACACCCCCCCCCCCTTTTTCCATTTACTTTTTATTAAGCTCTCATTTTAACAAGACAGTATTAGATATTTGTCATAAAATCTAGTCTTGAAGCGTACACTTTGTTATTTTATAGAAGAATGTGACAGGGTTAAATAATTAAATTGAAGCATCTTTAATTATTTTTTTATATATATTATGTAGACAGCGCGCTCTAGTTCTCCAATGTCCTCCCTGCGAATTTTATATCCTTGTGTCGCTTTCTAGCTTTCTCTCTCTCTCTCTCCCTCTCTCTTTTAAATTATTTGTTAAGGCTTAAGTATTGTACACTACATGACATAAATCTTATGCAGTGTGATTTTCAGTCAATGAAATACACGTCTTTCTTTAGGCTAATTCTTTTTTCATGGTATACAGTTTTAAGTCTATGAGCATATGGCTTCTAATATTATGCGCCACTCCTTAAACATGTTATATGCGGTCAGTCAGTTAAAAAACAAAATAAAATAAATCAGAACTTGAATTAACTTTTTCCATTAATGCAAACTTTGTGCTTGTTGTTCTGGAACATACATGTCAACCACGTGTAAAGTTCTACTTTCGTTTTAGAATCGGGTCAATTATTAGTACATTCTGCCATAGGGATATCGTTACAGCTTGCGTTTTTGTAAAATTAGAATTTTGTGCAGAGATTATAATTTTTTTTAATTCCATTTTTGTCCGAGACCTTTGTATAAACGAACAGTACAGACTTGGTGCTTATTCATGTAATTTTACTTGATTGTAGCACAAAAAGGAGGGGGTGAAATAGTGATAGCCGATAGGGCAAAGTCTGTTCTTTAGTTGTGTGTTTTAAAAGTCATGCAAGTTATGAAATTTTACTTATCGAGTTTTTTATATGCATGAATAAAATTATTTTAGAGAATCAATTGCAATGAACCATACAAAATTCAGAACTGAAGTAATTATAACATTTATTCATGAGTGCGATACACAACGTCATGTTTCTGACATTCAAAATCCATACATTTAAGGGTTTTTATCTCGGATTAAGCGAAGTGGAGTTTCCCTGTATCTGAATTGTGAACAATTAATGCTAATATTATTTCAAAAAAGTGCTTCACTAAACAATCTTTCTCTTTATATCTATATGATTGTATATTAATTTTGCACACTTTTTTTTTTATTAAAAAGTGAAGTCAATTTCTCGCCTACGTATTTACCGGTCCCAA